GAAACTTTTGGAAAGTCTATGAGGATTTTTTAGAGAGATAGAGAGAGAGAAGGTCTTAGAAGTTCATGGAGGCTTGAAGAACTTTCTTGGTGGCTTGCTTAGATTTGGAGGAGAAGAAGAGAAGTGAGAGATATCTTCTTCACTATAGTTCTAAGTGAGATTGGAGTGGAATTGTAAGAAGAGTTAGTGATTCAAAGGAACTCAGAAAGATTGCTTGGGAAGGAGTTTGAGATAAGTTATGTATTTTATTTTTCTTACTTAATTTTGTTGTGTAAATTTATGTTTTTCTATAAATCCATGAGTCGTTGTTTCTTCCCAATGAGAACTAAGTAATTTATTTGTTTTTCTCCCTACAATGAGGAATAATTATGTGTAGGAATAAAGTTTAGTAGAAGTGTTTTTAATTTCATAGGTTTTGATGATTTAATTTCCATGCTTAATTTGCTTATCGATCTGGTCAATTGATTAAATCTATTATGAAACATAATGACCCAAAAGAGCTATGTTTTTCTCAAAATAGTAAGAATCGCATTTAGTATCATGAATGAGGATGTAATTCATGGGGTTAAGTGCAAATAAACAGGGAAATAAGTTTTGATAGGCGTAAATTGGAGATTTTAGAGTGACAGACTAAAATTTTCAATTTAATCCATAAGTTTGGAACCTAAAGCGAGATGTTAGCCTTCAGGTGAAGGGTACATGGGAACTCTAGAGTGAAAGCTAGTATCTTCCCAGCTTAAGTTCGGATTTAGAGACTTAAATCTAGATTAGCCAATGTTCTTTATGCACTCAAGAGAGGGTTAAGTTCGGATTTAGAGACTTAAATCTTGATTAGCCAATGTTCTTTATGCACTCAAGAGAGGGTAAGGAATAGGAAGGCTTTTATTTGGCACAATACATTAATAATATTTAAAATAACTGGAGTTCTACACTGATTATAAACTCATTGCAAGGATGTTTTATATAACTTGAACTCTTCTATACATTATTAGTTTAGAATTGCTTAGTGGTAACTTTACATTTTATTTAGCTTATTAGATTGTCCTGTAATTAGCATTTTACTTAGCATTTTAATTCTACATTTGCTTAACATACTTAGCATTCCTTTTGAAATTCCGTAGGATTAATTGATTCATAAAATCTTTTTACCATTTTTTAAATAAGTTAACTGCAGTTTAGAGAGAATTTTATTAAAATCAACCTTATAAGAGAATTTCGTTAAAATCAACCTTATTAAAATCAACTTTATAAGATAATTTTATTAAAAAACTTATTAGCATGATCGATACTTAGGACACCATTAGAGCTCTATATTAATTGAAACGATATGTATAATTGCATAGTACCCTTAGTGTATAAGTCATTTTATCAACTTTACATATTATTTAGTTTTGCACACTAGCCGCTTAATTTAAATTGGATCAATATTTTGGTCATCTTTCAGGACTTAAATAATTGCATAATTGCAGGTCAGGTTAGTGCCTCTAATTAGAGAATTTCACCTCTAATTAGAGAATTTTGAGGTCGTTGTGCCTGTTTAGTTTGCACAATCTTTGGTTGTCAAACTTCGCATAGGAGTTGAAAATTCTCATTTTGAGATTCTTACATGATTTTTATATGGTGCAAGGGAAGTTTCCTCACCAGCAAGACAATGTGTATCATTGGTAAATGGAGTAAGGCCTTGGTGTCCTGGACTTCATGATTGCACCGTGAAATGATTGTTGTTAGAGTTAGAAGCACGTGTATTATGCTAATTAGTCATCAATGAAGTGAAGAATTCTATCAACGAGATGAAGATGTCGTTTCCCATGAACGGCTCCAAGTTATTGCCTTCCAAATAATTTACATTGATACTATAAAAGTTTAATGTCTTCATATTGTACAAAATCTAGCACAAAAAGAGATACTAAAAAGATAACACAAGGAGACACCGCGAAATCTTTCTTAAAAAAACTGATAAGGGAAAAAACTACAAATTATAGCCCAGTCAAAACGATCCACTACATATTTACAAATACAAAGATAGACCCTTTATCCCGAAATAGAAAAAAAGGGTTATAATGTTACACCAAGTATAATGTTTATTTATATATAGTATATAAAATGATCTAATGTAATCTGAATAATGTGCTCGAGAGTAGCTACTATAAGGAGTTATCATCGGGTCTTTAATACCGTCGTTCGACGTTCATCGTTGTACAGTATTTAGAACACTGTTATTCTATAGGCAGGAGACTTTAACACTAAATAGAGCACTTCACCACTAGTTAATGTGCATTATTATTCAATTTAGTACTTCATTACTCTGCAAAGTTTACCAAAACTGATGAACTGGGAGCAGCCGACGGTGGTCAACGGTGACCGACGAGGTGTGTTTGACAGTGGTCAACAACTATGAATGCTGGAAGTTATCATTAGTTCTTCCAGAAGAACAATGGACAGGCTTGTTCCCTTCCCCCCCTCAAATGAAGAGAGGGGTTCTAAAGAAAGGAATAGAAACTTATGAAATCAAAACTTATGCAATATGAATTCTCTTCACTTTTGAAGTTTCTCTATATTTACATAGCTAAGTTTAGTAGACCTATATATTTATTCCTCTACATTTACATAGCTAAGTTTAGTAGACCTATATATTTACATAAATTTGACATGACTATATATTTACAAGTCATATATCCCCTGTACTAGTTATCAACAGCTATGAATGCTGGAAGCTAAAAAAGGGGCATTTTCATCCTTTGGCTACCATAAACACTCGATTGAACGACTCACATTTATCCTTCTTGATTAATAGTGGTTATTTGATGATACGATGGCCTAATAACCATAAAATCAGGTCATCTTGGGATAATTGGATTCGTCTCAATGAGATGCTCGATTTGATTATAGGCACGTCAAATTTGAAGTTCATTTGGTCCCCCCGAAAAACCAATCAAAGTCTCCAAAAATGAATTTATGACTTGTTATGGGCTTGATTTGACTCAGATTGGGTTACTTTTGATATCAATGGGTTCATCTCGTCGAGCCGGTCAATTTGACCATTAGCTTGCTGAAATCAAAGCTTTAGATGATTTTTAAAATAAATCAGGATATTTCTAGCGAAAAAATGTCTTAAGTTTGGTGTCAAATGATAAATTTAATTGACTTGACAACACATCAATATCTATATCATTTGATGTTATTTATATATTAGAAATATTGCATAAACAAATATATATTTTATTTTAGGAAGGTCTACATACATACCACTCAATTCCTAGTATTTACAAATCAAGCACCCAAACTTCAACTTTTATACTTACACGCCACCTTATGCATTAAAAGGTATATTTCCGTTCTTGAAATTTAAAATGATGATATTTTTATGCGATATAACAGGCACAGTGTTATAAATGTAAAATGTATAATTTAGGTGTTAGCTGCGCTAATAAGTAGAAATTGGGCGGTATATAAGTAAATACCCCTTAATTTTAAATAAGCTAATGTTGGTAGTATTTTTTATATGATTTAGTGAGTATGATGTTATATAAATATGCATACAGATTAATAGAAAACAACAACAATAATGGTATCAAATCATCATCATCATCATCATCATTTAATTCTTGATAAGTTATATAACACAAAATTTAGGGTGGATGCTAATTTTCTTAAACAACCAAAATTTAATTAGATGTTCATAAATCCTATTCTCCAGTTATAAAAAGCCTAAGCCCCGCTGAAAATTCCAATTTAATTCAGAATATAAAGTGTTTTTCTTAATTTGCATAACTAATTATGTACAGCCAGCTTGATTATGTCTTGAAATATTTTTTCTCAATTGAGCAAAAGTTTCTCTCTTTGTTTAGCATAAATGCCAAATAATATCTACCACCCAACTAGGAACCAATCTGCTCTCACAGAAGGGAAGATGAAAAAGAGTTGGCAGAAACCAGCTGATGAACTTCAAAGCATGAAAGCGATACTTCATCTCAACAGCAAGATCTAGTAAAAGGAGCTCTTTTGTTGCAACTCCTCTCCCACGTGACGCTTTCTTTGTCGCCATCTACAGCCACATTATGACAATTTTGTCTTATAGCTCATAAAAGGAATGATACAGCCTAATAGTACACTGGAATTCTCTTTTGAGCTCTTGGGGGCGATCAGATGGAATTCTATTGGATCTATATAACAACATTGGCCTCCAATAAGGCCAAGGATTGCTGGTTTTATTCTCATTTTTGTCTTTATTTATTTTTATGTGGATGAAATTTTGATGAAAACATTTAGATTTATCATGATTACACTACTCATGTTCATGTTCAGACAACATTGGCTGCCATTTTAGGGTTCCTTTGAAGCAATTTTCTCACTACTTTGGATCCCATTGGTATCACTTTTATTTTTATTTTTACTTTTATTTTTATTTCTTCTTTTATTTTTAAAAATGTTTTTGGGTGATATACATTTTATATGTTTTTATTTTTTATTTTTAAAACAAATCAAATTAAAAACACTTAAAACACTTTAAATAGTTTTGAAAAAACATTATCTCAATCAAATATGTTTTAATTTAAATTAAAACATAAGCAAAATAAAATAAAAAAAAATAAAAATAAAATAAAAGTGATCCTGCACAGGCTCTTATTTTTTCATATGTCTAGTGTTTGATTGCAGAATTTTTTATTTATTAAAAGTTTTGAAACGAAAAAATTTTTTTAAAGAAATTTGTCAACTAACTTCTTAAAGAAATAAAAAATGATAATATTCACAATATTTTCATAAATTTACTTTTCAGACCATAATTCTCCAACCACTTCACAAAAAGATGAATGCAAGTAATATGAACTCTCATTATCCTCTCTCTCATACTTCATATCTGAATACATCAAATAAATGAACCAATTTACTCTTCTTCACAACATTTTTGAGCCAATGACTACCCTTAACTTCAGGAGACTCGACAAATACAACAATCAGAACGAGGTTTCATCAACACAGCATATTACACTAATCCAAAATCATAAAAAAATCACTGATTACTAATTTTTTTCCTGTTCTACATTAAAAATGTGTACAAAATTATGAGAACAAAAGAGAGGCCATTATAATGTTAAAAGATACCTGAATCTGAACTCATATGGAAGCACCTGTATTGGCTGGGGAACCGCAGTTCTCCTACACATTTCAACACATTTAACAGCTTCTTTTCTCATTTCAGTTGGGAGCTGCAAGAAAATCCAGTCCAGAAGCAACTCATTGTCCTTTGCAAAATCTAACTTGTACCAATCAAGGAGCTTTGGTATTGCCAATCTGTTTGATTTTGATAAACCGATGGCAGCTTGCAAGTAATCCCTCTTAGCTTCTTCTAACTGCGTCTCTACTTGACACGCAGTGTAGATTCTCACCTATACTTGAGAAAATATGACACAAGTGTCAATGATTGCATTGGGAATCACAAGCATTTGTCCTACTTATATTTTCCTTCGATGTAAATCGAATACATTGAAATAAATTGTACCGTACATTTCAAATGAGTAAAATATCAAAATAATCCGTTGACTATTTTTGTGGGGCCATTTTAGCTCCAAAGCCTATCAAAGTGTCAAATTAGTCCTCTTAGTCTTTTAATATAGACTAAAATAACAATCTTCAAAGAGTTGCATGACCATTGTGACACTTCTTTTTGTTTCAGATAAAACGACATGAGGACGAGAATGAGGGGAGATCATGACATGGTGCAACATTAAATTTCAAGCATCTTAAATTCCTAAAAATTTTGCGGTTTCATCTCTTCAAATAAATTACTAAAAAAAGGTTAAAATGCATAAAAATGGAATACAATACTCTACAAATGCTGGCCACCAAATAACCCCTTGAGATCACCTTATTTTAGCACTTTTACGCTAAATTTTTTCCCTTAAAAGCATTAGCAACATTTTCAAAAACATTATCACATGACACAACATTAAACCAATACAGTAACATAAGACGAAATATAAGGCACCTAAAAAAAAAATATTGATTATGTGACTTTAATCATATCAGTCACGGTATCACAGAGTATCCTTTTCTCACTTTATGCCTGCGGGAGCTAATAATGTTTGAAAAATGTAGAAAAAATTAAATTAAAATTCAGACAAACTTACCGCAGGGGAGGACCAACTTCCACACGAAAGTGCAAATGTAACCAATGGTTCCGGCCAATCTAAACCGAATAGGCTGCTCCTTGTCACCTCACTACTTTTGAAACCTTTTGGTGAAATCTGTAAAGTAAAGCTCTTAAAGGAATTATTTTCCCTGCATTAAAAAGTTCAGCTCTTTCCAAAAACTAGAAGAAGCCCCACTCACATGCTTTGAGTTGTAAGGAATTCTAAGCACGAGGTGCTCAATAGTCATTGCAGTGAACAAATGCCCACCAACATTCACCTTTGCCTGAATAGAATATACAATAGGTAGATAATTCAAGAGGTAAAAGATGAATTTGTTGTAGAACAAGAAGAAACCTTCAGCATCAATGCAAGGACCATCTCTGGAGTGGATGGAATACCATTCTCTATATATGCCTGACAAACAAAGAAGAAACTTATAAATACAAGATTGAAAATTCAAACTTTCATTGTAAAATAAAGCTATTTAAAAAGAAAGCAACATGGAAGAACAACGATACATTCATCATGCATGAATTGTAGATATTCATCCAGAATGCAAGTTTTTCCTGATGAATGAGCTCTGAAATATCGACTGAAGAAAGTTTTCGGAATAGAAGCCTAAAAATAAATGAAATAGTAGCAGATAAGCTATAAGAAATTGCTTGGACACACTGAAGAGGTGGGAAATAAATTTCAGTCAGCAACTCACTTCAGTCCACGAGTTAAAAATGAAAGTTTTGATATACAATTTACTTCACTCGAGCCCGAATCCACTTCACGTAGAAGTTTGTATGGTCCAATGTCCCTTCTTCCAAATTGTTTGCAGACATTGTAAGGGTCTCGAAAGCCTAATTCCTCGTAGTAAGTATCACAAGAGCCTGATACTGATGGGCACATCTCGTTCCCCGCTGCACTTGTGTTCTTTGGCGACCCAAGCCTTGCGAAAATGCGAATAAGGCATCTCAATATTTCCTCTGATAATTTGTTAGCACCGGTTGCCTCTTCGCATGCCATTCGATTTAAGCAACCATGATTGCCACGGGCCATGATTTCCCTGTCAACCGTCTGAAATAACAAGCATTTAATTAAAAATCAATCTTTTTTCAAGAAGAAGAAGAACGATGCTACTTCACCTCAGAAATCGGAATTCTTGAAGCATTCTTTATTGGAGATTGCGCTAAATTCCCTGCGGGAAGCTTATTTGACTGATTCTCTTTCCCCATATGGTCCTCATCTAAGGAAAAAATGAATTTTTTTGGAAGCTGCTTGCCATTCGTGAATCGGTTGAAACAAGGAGTTAGGTTGCTGATCGCAGAAGCACTAGGATGGATTAATGGGGAATGGGCTTTGGTATGTTCTGAATTTCTTGTTTTTGATGAAGGGAATCCATTAATGGTCAAATCAAATCCATTCTGCATGGCTTTTTGGGATGAGGAAATATAGATGGCCTCCTCATAAAGATTTTTCCGAAAATTAATGACTTTATCTTCGAGCCTAGCCACCTCCTCCTCCAACACTGCTACTTCAGCAAGAAGTTCTATTGTCTTGAGATAAACGGAAAGAATAATAATTCAGAACCATCTTTCTAATAAAAGATGAAAGAAAAAGAATTTAATGGGGAATAAATATATATTTACATATGATGGAAGGTAAGAAGGTAGGCGAGGGAGAGCACCCAAGGGCCTAGTAAAAGCTCTTTCCAATGCTCTGTGCACATTTTCTTCATGCCTAAGCTTCTTTCTCAGCTTATCAACCTATAATTTGTTTAGATTCAAGAAGAAGATAAGAAGAAAAGAGAGTATAACAGAGCAAGAGAAGGAATCCAATTCTATCATGAAAGTACTACAGCTTGTTCCAAAGCAATTTTCTTCTCTCTCCTCCACAAGCATCTCTTTGGGCCATTCCTTGAATTGGTTTCTGTACTCCTATCCACGGCCACCATCTTCTTCTCTTCCATCTGTTTAACCGAAAAAAACTAATAATTAAAATAAAAAAAAGTGCCAAAACATTTGCAGGAAAAAAATTGAATTAGTGGTCATTGAAAGGACTTCTTTTTTCATTTTTTGGGTCTCACTTGATGTGATTAGAGTAAACACCAAAATTATTACATGATTCTTCAAATGTAAAAATTTGGTTTTTAAGACGTAAATGAGAATGAAAGTGAACATGTTGAGCATTACAACCAGCAATGGTCCAAAGCGGCCAAAGCTTGGCATATTAAGGTTAATCTCAGAGGAGCTCTTGCCAAGCGGTATATGGCATAACAATTCAGAGCAAAAACAGGGCAGATTTCCATTAATTTCCTATCTAGTCTTAAGTCCAGAGTCCAGCTATCTCTAGCAACCTCAGCCAAATTTTGGAATTTATCACAAACCAATTTAAAAGTAATAAAAAAAAAGAAAAAAAAAAGAATTCAAAGCGCTTTTATCAAAGAATAAATGTATAACGCAGAATTAACAGGGGCACAATTTCCCAGGAATTTAAAACAAAACAAATGCAATGCTTTCTCACAAAATAGATGACAAGGCTTCTCAAGCTCTCTTGGCAATAATTTTACCAAGATCAGCCGCTTCCTTTCTCGTCCAGGATGCGAGAATTTTCAAGTGAAGAGATTGCAAGCAAAATTAAACACAGGAAGACGATCGTCTGATCCCAAACAAAAGAATTTATTCCGATTAAAGCAAAAGCCTCACTCAAAATAATTAACTGGATTCGTTCCTAATTCAATAACTATAGACCTTCGCAATCCACAATCTCCGAAAATAAAACAAGCCAAAGTAGAAGAGGAATGAATATTGAAGACAGCTCCATTCCAATGATCACGAAACAACAGCTGCAGAACTCTTCAAGAAGTAATCAGAAGATTCAAAACAAAAACAAAAGCAATGGCCATCTCGGATTTCAGCCCAAAATTCTTACTTTATCGTGCTTCGGTACTTCTCGCAGTCCATTTTCCGCAATCCGTGCTCTGGTATTCATATTCTCGTCTTCTCTCTTTCCTCACCAATTCATTAAAATTCAAAAATAAACTCTCCACTTTCTCCCTGGAGAATCACAGTAAAAAAATGGTGAAAACCTTGACAATCCTTTCCAATAGCGGGAAGATTTATTAAATGCTTGACAGGAACAAAGAAAGATCAAAGCCACCAATGAAGCGAATAGAAGAAAGCGGTCAAGGGCTTGTCTTCCCGTTCTTTTGCTGCTGCTGCTGCCGTTGCTGTTTCGCATCGCTGGTCATGCCATTCATAATTATATTTTCCCTTGCGATCAGCGAGGTTTTGGGGACGGGACAGTGGCCGGTATATGGCCCTGGATCTTGGGCTGCAAAAGCGAGAAAACAGCGGAAAGCGGTTATAGAGGTTCTTAGGTTCACCGCGGAGTAATTTGACTGAAATCCAGCTGGTAACGGTTTTTCTGTGGGCCCCATGGTCCATGTGCACGTGCCACGCGGGGCATCATTAGCCAGCGTGGGCAAGGTTTGCATCTCGGGTGCGCTTCTGATTTTCCTGGCTTTTCTGGCTGGACGTAAGTAGCCTTTCTCGGCTCAATTTAAAGTACGGTAGGCCGAAGTTGCAAGGAAATTTTAGCATATTTTATAACATTTTACTGTTTTTTGCTTTTATAAACAGAGGAAAACAAATTTATGAAATGTTTAACCTAGAGGTCAAATTTAATTAGGGGTGTAAACAAACTGAATCCGAATTAGAGATCGTGTTCATGTTTAGTTCATTTGAAATTAAATTTGTTTAAACTAAACTCATGTTCAAAATTGTTCGTGAAGTTATTGTTCGTGCTTGGTTTGAATTGTTCGAAATTTGTTCAATTTAATTCAAAATTATTTCAAATAATTCGTTCAAGTGTTATTGGTAGTTTTATATAGGTTGTATTGAAGGGTTGACGAGGTTTCACGATAAGTGGTATTATTGGCATTGTTATTTGGGTGATAAGTGGTGTTCTTTGGGTTGATTCTGGTTTTATTGCGGTTCCGCGACAAGTGTTGCTATTGGCCGTGTTATTATTGTAGTACTGCGGTGTTTTTGGTTTATTTGAGGTGAAACAATCGAAGTTATTGGCGTGTGGAGTTGAAAAAAATTAGTGTTATTACGTGCGATTTGCGCGGCAGCGGGTGTTATCGTGCAGTCGTGAAGGCAATTTATTGCAGGTGTATTGTGATAGTATTGTGGTGTTATTGGCAAGATTTTGTCGTGGAACCGTGGTGTTATTGAGGCGGCGTGGCGGCAGTGTTATTGCAGTAGTTTTTTTTTGTTATAGTGATATTATTGCAGAATTTTGTAGCAATTTTGTGATGTTATTGTGGGGGTTTGGCTAGGTCAGAGGAGCGGAAAAAGAGCAGGGATTCGCGAATTGCGGCAACTTGCGATGCCCATTTGAGAACGCGGACGAACGATCGGTGCGGAAGGTGCCGAAGGCATCGGTGCAGTTCGATGCGGAAAGGGCAGGGAGCTTCCTCTACGGGATAACAGAAGTTCTTGTTCGTGATTCACGCGCAATTGGGAGGATCGAGCTAGAGATGGAGCACAGCAAGAGGAAGGAAGGAATCTTAGATTGCTTTCCCGAATTGCTGGATTGGTTTGCGGAAGATTGCTTTCCCGAATTACTGGAGTTTCTTTGTGATTGGTGAGAAGAAGGCAGGCCGAAATTTGGGGAAGAAAGCGGGACTTCCCGATTTTTTCGTGAAAGGGATCGCGAGCAGCATCCGCCATCTTCCTTCCGAATTTGCTTCCTAGAAATAGGAAGGTTTGCAGATTTGTTTCCAGATTTTGTCGATCGTCAACTGAAGCAGAATGAATATTTCAGGCAGAGGAATATTCTCGCGTAGAAGGAAAATTTCAAATATTATGAGGATAAATTTCAGGATATTTTGGAAATATTTTGAGGATATTTTTTTGAAAAGATTTTGAGCAAGGATTTGTAGAGGAATTTGCAGAATAATTTGTTGCAAGAGTTATTTTCAAATGACATTTCTTGTGCAAAATTTGTGGTGGGGGAGTGTGAAGTTCGATGAAATTGGTAACTTCAGATTGTGGCAAATAAGAGTAAAAGATTTGTTGGCTTAATAGTGAATATTGAAAGCTTTGCGGGCAGCAAAACCAGGTGTCATGGAGGATGAAGATTGGGAAGAATTGTAATAATGAGTGGCAGCAACTATACGACTATGCCTGACAGATGAAGTTACGTATCACGCGATGAATCTAAAATCTCTAGGAGAGATATGGAAGAAATTGGAAACTCAGTTTATGGCTAAATCTCTAACGAATAAATTGTATATGAAGTAAAATTTATATGGGCTGAAGATGCAAGAAGGTTCTGATCTGGTGCAACATATTAATAACTTTAATCAAATAATCATAGACCTGTCACGTCTTGATGTGAATATTGAAGATAAAGATTGAGCGATGATTTTGTTGTATTCATTGCCTTCTTCCTATGAACACCTAATGATTACTCTTACATATGGGAAAGAAACTATCAAAGTTGATGAGATTACTGCAGCATTGTTGTCTCACAACCAGCTGAATCAGAATGCAGGGGAAAGCTCTTATGGTGACAGTTTATATGTTAAGGGTAAGTAGGATCGTGTAAGGAATAAAGAGAATGAGGGTTATAGAAGGCAAGATTCCAGATCCAAGTCCAAAGGCAAAAAGACAATTCATTGCTACAATTGCAAGGAGCCAGGTCAGATGAATAGAGATTGTCCCAAGCTAAAAAAGCAGACTGTGGAGAAAGGTGATGCATCATCAAAGTCTGTAAATGTGGTGCAGAATGACAATTCAGAGTGCAGTGATGGTGATATGCTTTCAGCTTCATCAACTCAGTTTATGGATGCATGGATTCTTGATTCAAGGTGCTCTTATCACATAACACCTAACAGGGAATGATTTACTTCACACAGGTTAACTAATTATGGATAGTCTATTTGGGTGATAATAGATGTTGCAATATTGTTGGAATTGGAGAAGTCAGAATTAAGATGTATGATGGCATAGTTAGAACGTTATGTGATGTCAGACATATTCCAGATCTGAAGAAGAATTTGATTTTCTTGGACACTCTACACATAAATGGTTTTATTCCAAAGGCAAATGAGGATAAGGAAACCATCAAAATTGTTAAGATTGCACTGACGGTGATGAAAGGAAAATTAAATGCAGACAATATCTACAAACTGTTGGGGAGTACAGTTGTAGGTGAAGTTCATTTTGTGGAGTCAGATGATGATAGTACAAAGATATGGCATATGCGTCTGGGTCATCTCAGTGAACTTAGGATGGAGGAATTGCATAGAAGAAATCTATTGCATGGTGTTAAAAGCTGTAAGCTCGATCTTTGTAAGTTCTGTGTTCTTAGAAAACAGACTAGAGTCAGTTTTATGACTGGAAAATATAAACTGAATGGATTCTTGATTATGTGCATTCTGATGTATGGGACCCTACTAGGGAATCGTTATTGAGAGGATCTCAGTATTTTGTTACTTTTATTTATGATTTCTTCAGGAGAGTTTGGGTGTATTTCTTGAAGCTGAAACTGAAATCTTTCTAAATTTAAGCTGTGAAAAGATGAGGTGGAGGACCAAATTGGCAGAAAGATCAAGTTTTTGAGATCCGATAATGGCACAGAGTACACAAATTTGCAGTTTTAGAAGTTCTGTGAGGAGTATGGGATTCAGAGATATTTTTTAGTGCATAAGACACCATAGCAGAATGGTGTGGCAGAAAAGATGAACAGGTCCTTAACTGAAAGGGCAAGATGCTTGAGACTGAATGCAGGGCTTCCTAAGAGTTTTTGGGCAGAGGCTGTGATTATGACATGTTATATCATCAATAGATAACCTCGGGCATTGTTGGGTGGCAAGGTCGCAGAAGAGGTATGGACAGGTAATCCAGTTAATTTTGATCATTTATGGATTTTTTGTTGTCCTGCTTATGTGCATATACCTGGAAATGAAAGATCAAAACTTCATGCAAACTCCAAGAATTTCATCTTTTTGGGCTATAAGAAAGTTGTGAAAGGATACAAGTTTTGGGATCCGATTACAAAGAAAATGGTGATCAGCAGAGATGCAGTTCAGCAGAGATGCAGTCAGCAGAGATGCAGTTTTTGATGAACAATCCATGTTACAGCATAATCAAGATAAGGTGTAAGGGAACAATTCTAGTTCAGATGCAGTGTAGATGGATTTAGAATAGCATCCAGAAACAACTGAGAGAGTTGAAGGTTCAAATCCAACATCTGGTGATTCCATTCTAGATGATCTGCAGAATTATAATCTAGCCAGAGACAGACAGAGACGCACCAATATAAGGCCTCTTAGTAAATTGGGTTATGAAGACTTGGTCTCTTGTGCACTTCTCATTAGCAGCGATGATCCAGGCACTTTTTAAGGAGCTATCATTAGCCAGGAGGAAGAGAAATGGATGGGTGCAATGGTTAAGGAGATGGAGTCTTTGTAGAAAAATTGCACATGGGAGCTAGTTCAGATTCCTGAGGGAAAGAATGTTATTGGTTGCAAGTGGGTGTACAAAAGGAGACCAACAGTATCAGAAAAAGAAGAGGAAATTTTGAAGGCTCAACTGGTAACAAAGAGATTTTTACAGCAAAAGGGGATAGATTATGATGAGATCTTGTCTCTTGTGGTCAGACATACTTCAATCAGTACAGTGCTTGCATTAGTAGCCATTTGGGATTTTCATTTGGAGCAGAAGGATGTTAAAACTTTTTTCTTACATGGAGACCTGAAGGAGTTGATTTACATGGAGCAGCCAGAAGGGTTCACTCAACCTGGACAGGAGCATCTGGTTTGCAGGTTAAAAAAATCGTTGTATGGGTTGAAACAGTCTCCAAGACAACTCCAAGAGTGTCTAAGACAATGGTACAAACAGTTTGACTCCTACATCAGTCAGATCGGCTACAAGAGATGTGAGTATGATTGTTATGTTTATGTGAAGAGCCTTGATGATCGTTCTATTATTTTTCTGTTACTGTATGTTGATGATATACTGATTGCTGCAAAGAAAATGAATGATGTTTGTGGTTTGCAAGCTTTATTGAGCCAGGAATTTGACATGAAATACTTAAGTCCTGCGAAGAAGATTCTTTGAATGGAGTTTCATCGAGATAGAGGCTCAAGAAGATCATGTTTATCTCAATGAGGCTATGTTGAGAAAGTGCTTGACAGGTTTGAGATGAGCAAAGCAAAGCCTGTAAGTACCCCTTTGGCAAATCATTTTAAACTTTATTCAGAACAATGTCCTAAGACAGATACAAAAATCGAATGCAGATACAGAAA